TTTGATCCCTATTCAGCTGAATTCCTGAGACCAGACGAAATCCAGGTCTCCTACTCCTCCGCCATCTTGCTCCGCCCCCTCATATCGATCTTTTGAATTATCTTTGAATCTTTCTGTTTCAATAAAACGGTACCCTGTCCTCCAGCTCCCATACCATTTGGTTCATGGGCATATCTTACGAATTCTTCTATTTTAATAATTTTATCTTTTTAAAATATAACAGGTGGGTTTGTTGGGTTTTTCTAATAATAAAATTAATCTATGCATGAGGTAAAAAGTGGGAAAATACAAAAGACCCCATGGGGAAAAAAGGCAAAAAAAAAAAAAAATAATTTCATCTATTAGCCAAATCTAATTAATGCTCTTGTATATTTTATCCTCATCTATATCCCAATATATCTTGAATTTCTACTACCAACATCCAAGGAAAGACCTTTTTTTTTTTTGCTTCCCAGGACTGTCAGTAGTCTCCTAATTCAGGTCTCTGCCTCCTGACTCACTCCTCCCTCTTATATATGCTTTAATCATAATCTTAAGTGTTGTTCTTGTTCAAAAGCTATCAGCAATTCTTTCATATTGTTTATGAAATAAGCTTTATTTAATGGAATACATTTTCTGTTTTTTTGTGGAATAAATTTTATTTGTTAAAGTACTTCTCAAGTTAGCACTCAAGAATAATTTTAATTGGGCTTTCTATAAAAAATATATATATATATATATAAATTCATTTCTCACCATTCCCATAAATATATCTTTTGTGTAAGGCAAAACAGTAAACTTAAAGGTGAATATTAATCTGTCAGCAAAATTCTTGAGCATACCCAAACTGTGTAATTAGCAGGCTAGTGATTAAAAGAAAATAGTGATTTTGTTTTTCTTTAGAAAATTTTATATCTAATATAGCAAAATCTCATCTACTGTTGTTCTAGCAAGGCAGTTCTCTGAGATTAGGTAAGATAATATTTATTTAAAATTTATAGATATTTTAGTACATTGGGATGCTTTTTTTTAATATGTGCACTTCTGAAAATTTCAATTTATAACAAAATTTTCATTGTTGGACAGTCCTAAAATTGATATTTTTAAGATATTTAAATAAAATAATTGGAAAAAATTCTTGTGAATTTTTTGACTATAATAAAAGATTTATGTTTAATTTTCTCTTCCTTTTCTAAAGATCAATTTTTACAAGGAAGGAAATTTAGGAAAAGTTTATTGGTTTAAGCCTTTTTTAAAGCCCCATTCCTTTTATTAGTAAGATGATCAAGATTATGGGAACAAAAGATTATGTTAGTACTATCAATAATAGTTACTAACTTCTAAAAATTTAAGTTAATTTGGATTTTGCTTTTTGTACTATCTAGAAATGGGTGAACAGAGAGATATCAAATTTTGACTACCTCATTCAAATAAATACAATGGCAGGACGAACCTATAATGACCTTGCGCAGTATCCTGTGGTAAGTTTTATAGAAATCTCATAAATATGGGATTGACTTTCAGTTTTATAATACACAAAAATGTGTGTGTATGTGTAAGATGATTTTTCATCTTTAAAAAAGATACAAAAACTGTTTTTGCCTTTTGTATATTTTCTACCTGCTATCTTCAAAAAGTATATAAACATGAAGAATAATTAAATAATAAAAGCTGTTTTTTCCACTTCATTGAAAATATTCCAGTGGAATTATAGGAAATAATGCTTCTGGTTATGGAACTGAAGATGAATAAACATTTGAAACAGGGAAAAATATTTTTAAAGACTATCCCTTTTTGTCTTTAGATAAACATTTGATATTACATATGGGGATAGTAGCTTCTCTGGAAAGGAATGTCTAAATTGTAAATTGTGGCTCTTTTAGTTTCCCTGGATTTTACAAGATTATATGTCAGAAGAGTTGGACCTTAATAACCCATCTGTATTTCGAGATCTTTCCAAACCAATTGGGGTAGTTAATGATAAAAATGCCAAAGCCATGCGAGAAAAGTAAGTGCCTTTTATCCCTTTTGAAAGATACCCATCACTTTTGATGGTATTTTGAATTTGCATTGATTTCTACTATGGCCAACCAGGTGTTACTTTTTTTAAATGCACAGCGATAGTCTGATAATCCCTTCACTATGTCTTGAAAATATATCATTGTCCCTCAAGTATCTTAACTATAGTCTGTTTATTTCACTTCTTTGCCAAATTTCAATTGATTTTGTTTAGAGTATCTTTTCACTTTGTATGTGCTGAAAGGTAATTTTTCTTCCCAGATACTTTAGATTTATTAACCTCCTAATCTAACATGCAAAAATACCCTTAATTTAATACAATATTTTGGTAGATATAAAATTAATACTAACCTATGATTCACAAATAATGTGAATAAATAAAATATAGTGAAATGTGTAGAAAGTTGCTATCTTTTAATAAGGAAAGGAATTTTTATAATTCTTTATATTTATGATCTATCCTGTGAATGCCTTACAATTTTTTTTTTTATTCAAAGCAAGCTGCTGACAGGTAAAAGAATAATCTAATTTTAATTTCCCTTTTTCTCCATGTGAAATTGTGGATGAATTGTCAGTTATGACTTCTAATAATAAGGGCAGAAAACTATTTTGCAAACAAATAGTGTAGATTTACTTGAGAATAGTACTTTTTTTTTTCATTTTATTTGCAAATCTATCTTAGGACTTCTTGTAGTATTTGATACTTGATTTGATTTACTAGTGGAATTCTGCTGTGTATATGTTACCTCACTACCATTAGTCAAACTTTACTGACAGTAACAAAAAAACAAGCTTTTTAAAATACCGTTCCACAGGAAATATTGTTTTAAATTTCAGTAGTATATGTTTTTGCATAGATGCAGATGACTTTGACCTGAAAGCTTTTATTCCCCTAAATATTAATGATTTTTGTGTAAAAGGAAATTGGCCTCAACTCAATGAACTAATTACTGTTTTGGTTTGAAAAATTTAGTGTTTATTTCCTCCAAAAAACTGTTATTACTCAGATTTTATACCCACTAATTCAGATGTCAGTATTCAAACCACCGTTCAAAACAATTACACAGTGGTAGTGCTTACAGAATCACTATATATATATATATATATATGTATATATCCTTTCCTTATTATCTGCTTTAGGTCTTCCTATTCATCATCTTCCTTCCTATCCTACCTTCTTTTTCCTTTGTTAGGCATTCATTTCCACAATTCTTGACCGATCCTCCATATTTTCTTCCATTACCTTGGCCACAAAGGGATGCCTCATTATCACTTTGCTTACAGTAGCAGAAAAATGGAAACAACCCTTTGTATCTAAAACTAAAGAAATAGTTAAATTGTCATACATTCATATATGTTACTGTTATAAATACCAGGTACTGTCAAAAAGTAGACTACTCAGTCATTTAAAAGACATAAATAGAAAATTATTAAATGAAAAAATAGGTTGTGAACAATATATTATGTATAGCACTTTTATATTGAAATATATTTGTGTATTAACTTATACATTAAGAGTGACAGATAATCATCAGAATGTTAATGTTAATTATTTCTGTGCTTGATTTTAAGTTTCCCCTTTTTTGGTTCTCTGTGTTTTCTAATTTATCTACAGCGACTATATATTATTGCATAATATGAAGCTATCCTAGAATCCTGTTTCTAGTGATACTACTTTCAGGAAAAAAAAAGAATAATTTTTTTTCATTTATTAACTTGGTGTGATGATGTGAATATGTAAATAATGAATATTAATAGGGACTTCTTAAAAAGTATGTTTCTAGCAATGCAATACAACCTTATGTCCTCCTAATTTAATATTACTGTTGTGGTTACAAAAGTTTAGTTTCTTTTTTTAGATATGAAAATTTTGAGGATCCCATGGGAACTATTGATAAATTTCATTATGGTACTCACTATTCAAATTCTGCTGGGGTTATGCACTATCTTATTCGTACAGAACCATTCACCACCCTCCACATCCAGCTTCAGAGTGGAAGGTATGTTTTGGGTAAATAAGCTATTTTCTTAATACTACATGTTAGCATTGAAAACTCTTTGCCTTCATGTCATGTACTGTATAACAGGGCCTTATCTTTTTTATTCTCCTCTACTAGGTTTTGATTAATTTAAACGCCTCTAAACAAAAACAGCCAAACTAGTTTGAGAATGGGTCACTGCAATTGACTTACACAAATGACCTTTAAGGAGAATTCCTTTTTACTGTTATCTAGTGTAACTTTGTGATTCTTACTGGTTTTAGGAACCTGCCAGAGATTTAGAGTTTGAACTGATTTAGACCTAGATCCATGACATCTGCCAGAGATTTAAACCTAACCAATGCATATGTAGTCCTCTTTAAAATATTTATTAAAGAATAAAAATAAGGAGGAGTGAAGGGGTCTTAGCTTACATAATCCACACAGGTCTGTGATGCCTTTGTATTATCATATTACCTGTCAGAGTTATAACTTACTATGTTTCACACTTTCCTAATAATCCTAAAGAAACAAACTTCTTTATGAGTCCTCAGTTTTCCAGTGTATCCTCTCTATAGCTCCCTACTTAATCACATTTTATCTCCGTGTTGCCTTATTCTTTAACATTACTATTTCACCTTTCCTATGCACCCAATCGAGCTATATAAACATTGCCTATTCTACTCTCTTGGCATATAGTTTTTATCTCTCAAAATTAGCCTTACCTCCTGTCTTTAGTACAGTAAGCCTTGGCTTTCAAGAAGAGACTCTGTCCCCATGATCACATTAACCATCTCCAAATGTTACATATACATGATAGTAGGTAATTTTCACCCCATTAAAGTATAACTGGGTCTTTTCAGCTTTTAATTATTTTAACAATAAGTGATTTTATTGCAAAGCTTCAGAAATAGATTCTGTGCTTCAAAAGACACCATCAAGAAAGGAAAAGGACAACCCATTCAGAGGGAGAAAATATTTATAGGTTGTATATCTGATAAGGGACTTGTATTTAGAAGTCTATAATACAGTAACTCTTAAAATGCAATAATAGACAACCCAGTTAAAAACTGAACAAAGGATCTGAATGGACATTTCTCCAAAGAACATATACAAATGTCCAAGAAACATATGAAAAGATGCTCAATATTATTAGTCATCAGGGAAATTCAAATCAAAACCAAATTGAGATACCTCTTCACACCTCCAAGGATGGCGATAATAAAAAAGACAGATAATATCTAGTGTTGATGAGCATGTTAAGAAGCTGGAACCCTTATGTACTGCTTGTGGAAATGAAAAATGCTGTAGCCTCTGTGGAAAACAGTCTGGCAGTTCTTTAAAGGGTTAAACATAAAATTATCATATGACCTAGTAATTCTACTCCTAGCTATATATCCAAAATAATTGAAGACATATATTCATACAAAAACTTGTAGACAGGTGTACATAGCAGCATTATTTGTAATAGCCAAAAAGTAAAAACAACCCAAAGGTTGTTTGTCTGTCAAGTGATAAAGTAATAAATAAAATGTAGTATATCTGTACAACAGGAGTATTATTTGGCCATGAGTAGATAAAAGGAATGAAAGATAGATATATGTTGCGACATGAATGATCCTCAAAAAGAGTATGCTAAATGTAATAAGCCAGACATAAAAAGCCACATATTGTATGATTTACATGAAGCGTCCCAAAGAGACATCCATAGAGACAGAAAGTAGATTAGTAGTTGCCAGCGAGTAGAGATAGAGTGGATGGCGAGTGACTGCTAATAGATACAGGGTTTCTTTTGGGAGTGATGAAAATGTTCTAAATTTGATTGTGGTGATTGTTGCACAACTCATGAATATACTGAAAATCATTGAATTGTGAATTATATGTAAATTATATCTCAGGAAAGCTGTTCTCCCTTACCCAAACAAAAAATTCTACCATTAAAACTATGTCTCCTTAAATGTATAGTGATTAACATAACAATAAAAAATTTAAAAAAAACCTATATCTCTTTAAATTTGGATACACCATTATTAGACTTTATTGATGACCCAATCATTGACTGTAATTAAATTCAGAGTTCTGCTAAGTTCAGCTCCACCTCAAACCAAGATTGGTAGGCATAAAAAGAGTCAAAATAGTCATCAGTGTCATTTAGTAAGTCATTACTAGGTAAATCCAGGAAAACAATATCAAAGGTGATGAAACAGGGGGGTTTATGCTTTTTGTGAATAAAACAATACATAAAAGCAGTGTAATAAAATTGTAACATGACTACTTGACTTTCTTTCAACTACCATAGGCCTGTGGTGGAACTTAAAATAAGATAATAGTATATGCAAGTAAAATATAAAAAGCTTTAGCCACAGAACTATTTCCCTAACTTACCCTCTGGTTTTTAGCAGAAGAGTTTGCAAAGGTGTTTATGTATAGAGGATTAAATCAGCATTCCTATGGATCTATTAATCATGTATATTAACAATGATATTTAAATTCTGTGATTCTAAAATATCCGAATAATGTTTATTCACTCTCGGTAATGAATTTTACTCAGCAAAAATTAGGCCTATCTTTAAAAGTCTCTTAGGTTTACATTTAATTACTTGAACATTTTCTCCGGTGTGATTTGGTTTTCAGCTCTTTTAACTAAAATGATACTAGTGATTAAAGTTACAGTATTTAGTTCCTGGCAACAACATTTGAAAGATAGATTATCATAAGAAGGAAAAACAAATTGTGTTTTTATTTTATTTTATTTAAAAGAATTTATTTATTTATTTGACAGAGAGGAGAGAGAGGACGCACAAGCAGGGGGGCCCGGAAAGGGAGAAGCAGGTTTCCTGCTGAGCAGGGAGCCCGAGACGGGGCTACATCCCGGGACTCTGGGATCATGACCTGAGCCGAAGGCAGACACTTAACTGACTGGGCCACCCAGGTGCCTCCCAAATTGTGTTTTTAGACATTAAGAGAAAGATTAACGAAAGAGAAACTAGTCATTAGGAAACCTGAAGGAGGTGTAAGGTTTGTTTCATGGCTGTTCCTGCTGTCCTTAAGTACTCACTGTTCTCTATCAATCTCCATGTGCAGGTTTGACTGTGCAGATCGACAGTTCCATTCCATCCCTGCCACATGGCAGGCTCTCATGGACAACCCATATGATGTGAAGGAACTTATTCCTGAATTCTTCTATTTCCCAGAGTTTTTGGAAAATCAAAATCGTAAGAAATAAGAGATTAAAAATTTTGACTCAACAGGTCCCAGTGAAGGATCCTGAAAAATACCTTTCAGGATATTGTTGTGATATTCTATAGATTATTTAAGGTTCATTCTGTCTGTGCACTATTCACTGATAGGGTTTGACTGATGCCCAGATGTAGTCTTACTTTTCCAGGGAAGTGCTGTGGTGAATGATGATAAATGAGTCAAATTTGAATTGGTGAGAGAATTCAGAGTATAGTGTTTCCTAGAAAGCAAAAATGGCCATATGCTGTTTCAGCCATATAGCTATCCACTTAGGCTAAAAGTGTTTGAGTTAGGGGCGGGAAGAAAAAAAAAGTGTTTGAGTTAGATAAGATGAGGATTTAGACCAGGGGTTTGCAGACTATAAGTCGTGGGTGAGATCCACAGGGTGTAAACTCATTTGTTTATAAATAAAATTTTGTTGGAACACAGCCAAGCCAATTCATCTACATATAGATTGTGGCTGCTTTCATAGCATAACAGCATATTTGAGTAGTTGCAACAGAGACCAGGGGGTTAAAAAGCAAAAAATATTTATTCTTTGACACTTTATAGAAAAAGTTGGCTGACTCCTGATTTAGAGCAGAAGGGAGGAGGCAAATTGAAATTAATGACAGGGTATAAGTTACCACAATATTTGAAAAATCATATTAGGTTTTTGAAGTGGAGAATTATGGAGCCAAAGACAGTCTTTAAAAATATCCAAATACTTTCTCTATGAAGTAATTTTAGATTTATTTTTAAGCACAGTAAGAAAATGACAAGATTGTTAATACCAGGGTTCTTAAGGGAAATTACAGTGTCAGTGGACCATTACCAACTTCTTTTTCCTCCCCTAGTATGAAGTATTAATGTCTGACCCTTTGCTTCTTCAGTAGAGTTGTTTGCCATACTAGGGAGAGCATATCCAGGGCTTTATGTCCTCTGATCATACACTCTGGGACATGCTGTTGGAGGCAGGGCATCTGATTTCTCAGAGTAAGGCATTTAAAATTGATCACTTTCAGGGGTACCTGGGTAGCTCAGATGGTTAAGCGTCTGCCTTCAGCTCAGGACTGATCCCAGGGTCCTGGGATCAAGCCCCTCATCAGGCTCCTGGCTCAGCGGGGAGCCTGCTTCTCCCTCTCTCCCTGCTTCTCCCCCTGCTCATGCTCTCTCTCTATATATATATATATCTCTGTGTCTCAAATGAATAAATGAATCTTCAAAAAAAAAAAATAAATAAAATAAAATTGGGCACTTTCAGAAAATCAAATTAATCTATTGATGGACTCTGATCCTAGACTGTTAGCCATAGAACTGGAGCCTCCAAAGCAGGGTGTCTGGGCTAGGAGGATGAGCACATTAAATTTGGACACAGAAGTTAAGATACTCTTAGTTTGACAATTTCTTATGTTTGCTAGAGCAAGTTGCTGTCTTGCACTGCTGTCCTGCTGGCTTCCTTTTCTAATTGTATGTTGCTTTGTTTGAAATGAGTTAGGTGGGAGAAAGCAAAGTACATTACTTAGAATGTCAACAAATATTAATTAGTAAAACAAATATTAATAAAACCAACTCAAAATTGGGCAGGAAAATTTTAGTATTTTCCACAATGAAAATCCTAAGGTATCGTAGTATTCAGGTAGCTTAACAACATCATCAAAGCCAAGTTCTTTCTGTATTTTCATTCTGCTGTTCTAAGTGTTTGGGCTTTGTCCTTGACTCCTTCCCTCTCATGGTTACAAATGACTGAAGCATTTCTAGTCTTCCTAGACAGATACAGTAGTGTCTTAGAAAGAAGTGGATTGTTAATTCTTTGTGTCATTTCTTAAGAGTGAGAAATCCTTTCCTATAACCTCTCCTCATTGTCCTTACACCAGTCAGCCTGCTACAGGCATAAAATAAAGCACAAGGATAGATACTTGAATAAAATCAAGGTTTTGTTACCAAATAAGGAGGGATGGCTAGCAGGTTGGCAACAATGTCTGTTACACAGTAGTTTCATTAACAAAGCCACAGGCCCTGTGCATCCTGTCATTCTATGACATTCAAACCTCTCTATTCAGCTTTGGGACACACTGATATTTTAAGGCAGCTTCTTTCATGAAGGTCTTTTATATTAACACTTTTCTCTTTCCATGCTATGTAAACAAGAAAACCTCATCTTTGGGACAATTTTGTCAAAATACTATATTTTAACTGTATGAGCAAATCTTTACGATATCAGTATCTACTTAGAAGAATGGTATACAAATATATATTTTTTATTATGACAAATACAACACTTCCATTGAGTGAATTTAAAGTATAAGTTACACCGAAAAGCGCTAAGGAGCTGTATTTTGTAAATTAACCATTAGAAGGACTATATTAATTATTTTTAATGTAAGAAGAATACTGAATATTGCATTTTTGTTTAGATTAAGATTTTGGTCATCCCCACTTCTCAACCAAAAATCAATTATTAATCTGATTTACTTTGTAATAACTAATTTGAAAGTATTTTATTTTCATCTACCTTTTTAATCAACTGATAAAATGCATTTCATTATAAGAATTATTTTTACCTGTTCAGTAAATTTAGATCAAGAAGGGAACTTGGTTCTCACCTTTTAGAGAAGAAAAGAAGCCTCAGTTTTGCTAAGGATTGTGCCCTTATACTTGTTTTACTTGATTTATTTAAATCTAAAATGATTTGATGCATTTATCTTTTATTTGTCTTAGAATTTAACTTGGGTTGTCTACAAGTTTCCAAAGAAGTAGTAAATGATGTCATTCTCCCCAAATGGGCTAAGTCAGCTGAAGATTTCATCTATAAACATAGGAAAGCTCTGGTAAGACTTTTGTGTTTATTTTTATTTATTTATTTATTTTTAATGATTTTATTTATTTATTAGAGAGAGAGCACAAGTAGGCAGAGCAGCAGGGAGGGAGAGGGAGAAGCAGGCTCTCCGCTGAGCAAGGAGCCTGATGCAGGGCTCTATCCCAGGACGCTGGGATCATGACCTGAGCCGAAGGCAGCCGCTTAACCGACTGAGCCACCCAGGCACCTCAGATTTTTGTGTTTATTTATTAGATTACTAAGATAGAGATGAATGTGTTTTCTAGAGAATAGATTAATGTATATCTGGCTATTAATTATTTTTCTAGATTAATTTGTCATCTGTTATGTATACCGTTGTAGAGAGTATAATATAGTAATTTATTTTGAGGTTATGAATTTTCTGATACAGTAAGAATATGGTATAGTCCCAAGGATATATAGCAAAAAGTACATATATATATATTTATTTATTTATATATATATATATTCAGTTCTATAAGATAACTGCCTGTTGTATTTTAAACTATTCCAACCACCAAGCTGGTGTCGTTTGGTGTTTTGCAGTTCCCACTTGTTTCAAATCTAACAAGGATTAGGGGCTCCTAGGTAGCTTGGTCGGTTAAGTGTCCAACTCTTGATTTCAGCTCAGGTCATGATCTCAGGGTCCTGGGAACAAGCCCCTTATCAGGCTATGTGCTTAGTGTGGAATCTGCTTGAGATTTTCTCTCTCTCCCTCTTCCTTTTCCCCTCCCCCAGCTTGTGCTTGTGCTCTCTTTCTCTCTCAAATAAAGAAATAAAATCTTTAAAAAAAAAAAATCTAACAAGGTTGAGTACATTTTTGTTTTCTCTGAAGGATTTCAGTAAGTTTTTAATACGACTGCTAAATCCTAAATTCCACTTTAAAAAAGTGTTAGTTTTTAGCTGAATTTCCAGTTTGGGATTAAAAAAGTAGTAAGAGTTAAAAACACTGATACTGTGTCATTTTGTAAATGATGCGTTTTTTTTCCCCCTACAATAATAGTCCACTTAGTTCTCTATCTAAACTGAAATGTTTCAGAGTCTGAAACTAATTAGGCCAATACTTGGAAATGTTCCTTGTCATTAGTATATAGTATGTCAAATTTATAAAATTCAGGATTAGATCATAATATTTGTAAGCAGTAACACTATGCATGAATAAGGAATTGGAAAAAACATTAAGCAATTCAGAAAAAAATCTGTTACTTATTAGCTAGCCAGGAACTTCTCAGATGCATTCCTCTGTATTATCTATGACATGAAGTGTAGGGGTCCAGGATTTTAGGAAGACATGCTCCTTATATTAATATGTTAGAAGCCTGTGTTTCAGTTATGTATTGCTGTGCAATAAACTATCCAAAATTTAGTGGCTTAAAATTTAGTCATGGGCGCCTGGGTGGCTCAGATGGTTGGGCATCTGCCTTCGGCTCAGGTCATGATCCCAGGGTCCTGGGATCGGGTCCTGCAACGGGCTCCCTGCTCCTTGGGAGCCTGCTTCTCCCTCTGCCTCTCTCTCTCTCTCTCTCTCTCATGAATATATAAATAAAGTCTTTAAAAAAAAAAATTAGTCATTTTATTATCTCTCACAGTTCTGTGAATTAACTGGTCTCAACTGAGCAGTTCTCGTCTTGCTTGAGGTTCTCATGCCCTTGCGGTCATAGCAGTTGAGGTTGGAGTCATCTGGAGGCTGCATTGAGTGAGACAATGCGATGCTGGGCTTTTCTTCCTGCGCATGTAATCTCAGGATATCTCCTCATCATGTGGTCTCTCTAGCTAGGTAGTCAGACATGTACATGTCTACAGCTCAGGAAGGAGTACAAAATTAGAAGCTTCCATGCTTTTTTTTTTTTTTAAAGATTTTATTTATTTATTCATGAGAGACAGAGAGAGGCAGAGGGAGAAGCAGGCTCCCAAGGAGCAGGGAGCCCGATGCGGGACTCGATCCCAAGACCCTGGGATCATGACCTGAGCCGAAGGCAGACGCTCAACCATCTGAGCCACCCAGGCGCCCGCTTCCATGCTTTCTTAAGGCTTAAGCCTGTGAACGGTCACAGCACTTGTGTCACCTTGTCAGAGTCATACAGTAATAGGATCAGTGCAGATTCAAGAGGAGGGAAGGTAAACCCATCTCTCAATGGTGGGAGGTTGCAAAAAAGAATTTGCAGCCATCTTTAATCCTCCACATACAGTCTGCCCTCTGACTACAAATTATTTGCATTCCTCTTACATGCAGAATGTACGTACTTCCTCTCAAGATCCTCCCAAAGTCTCATGTCAGGGACCTTTAAGGGATCTGCAAACTTTTTTTTTTTTAAAGATTTAATTTATTTAACAGAGAGAGACACAGCGAGAGAGGGAACACAATGTGCAGGGGGAGTGGGAGAGGGATGCGGGGCGCGATCCCAGGACCCTGGGATCATGACCTGACCTGAAGGCAGACGCTTAACCGATGAGCCACCCTGGTGCCTTTGCAAACTTTTTCTATAGAGGACCAGGTAGTAAATATTTTCGCTGGCTTTAAGGTCTGTGTCAAAATTCTGCCATTATAATGCAAAAGAAAATGGATGTGGCTTTGTTGTACTACTCTACAAATCTGGAGCTAGTAAAATTTGGCCCACAAGCAGTAAGTAGTTTGCTGATCCTTGCCTCATGAAGGCATGAGGTCTGAAGTCCAGAATCTTGTTAGTAATCTAAATTAAATCCATGTGGGCATAAAACTACTCACGTTTGTCTGCTCTTGCATCTGAAGACTGTGGAGTAGAGAAACAGGTTATCTGTCCCCACATAACAACAGTGGTATGACAGAGACAGAAGAACTATCATAGACACTCTCATTCAAAAGGGAGATTAAAAGGGGTGCCTGGCTAGCTCAGTCCATAGAGCATGTGACTCTTGATCTCTTGGTTCATGAGTTTGAGCCCCACGTTGGGCATAGAATTTAATTTAAAAAGGCAGGGGAAAGAAAAACAAGAGGTACCTGGCAGTAACTGGTTTATAACAATTCAGAATTCCAGCAGGGACATGCTTTCAGTTCTTTCATTAGGGCCCAGTGCTATTTCCTAAGAGTGGTTCTCTGTGGCTATTTTGTTTTACCCTTTGGCTCTTAGCTTCCTGCTTTGAGTCATTGTTTTTTTTACATAAAAAAAAAAAAGTGCATGAGTATCTTTGTCAGCCTCTTACCTAACCACAGTAAATTGAAAGCCAACGGTCTCATCCTTTTCGAAGTTTGTCTCTTTCAGTCTGAAGTAACTGAACTAATACAATATCTTTTAAATTTTTCTGGGTTTCTTATGCATCAACTTTATTGGGTAAAAACCATTTCACATTACTTTAGAATCTAAACAGCCTCTTATTTACTTTGGGCCCAGTGGGAGGCTACTGTGGAAAAATTAAAATTCTTAAGATGTTCTATTTTCTAGTTGAGTGGGTCTGTGCAGCAAAACCTTAAATCTTTGAAGTCTCAGCAGATTGCTTCACAGCCACACTCTTGAACTAAACTTTCGCCTGAGGCAGTTATTTTACTGGTGACACTCTGATCATTGACCTTGGCCATTTCTCAATTAGAGAGTCTTTGCTCTCTAGTATCCTGGGAATGAGAAATAATTTTATTTGGAACCCAGCAAGACCTGCTCCTTTATATTTTTTTAAAGGTATGCTTAAAACCTAAATAGCTCTTTTTTTTTTTTTAAGATTTTTATTTATTTATTTGAGAGAGAGAGAGAGAGAGTGACAGAAAGCATGATCAGGGAGGAGAGAGAGCAGCCGGCTCCCCACTGAGCAGGGAGCCAGTACTGGAGCAGGACCCTAGGATCATGACCTGAGCCGAAGACAGACGCTTAACCCACTGAGCCACCCAGGTGCCCCATGAATAGGTCTTTTTTTTTTTTTTTTAAAGATTTTATTTATTTTTCAACAGAGAGAGAGAGACAGGGAGAGAGGGAACACAAGCAGGGGGAGTGGGAGAGGGAGAAGCAGGCTTCCTGCTGAGCAGGGAGCCCGATGCAGGACTCGATCCCAGGACTCTGGGATCATGACCTGAGTGGAAGGCAGACGCTTAACGACTGAGCCACCCAGGCGTCCAGTAGTTCTTTTTTTAAATTCATCTTACTCCTTCCACACTTTATCACAGGCAGCTAAAAGATCTAATTAGCAGGAAAATCTCCATCCCCAGATAACACCCAGGTGCTCATCACAACAAATGCACCCCTTAATCCCCATCACCTATTTAACCCCTCCCCCCACCCATTGTGTGGAAATGTTGAATCACTATGTTGTACACCAGAATCTAATATTACACTGTATATTAACCAACTGGAATTAAAATAGAAACAAAAAAAAAATCTCTATCCCCAGATTCATGAGTTGATTAGGTATTCTTTCTATCTTTGATGTAACTAAACTTGAGCCCCCTTTTCTACTGTCTCCAATAACAATTCCCATACTGTTTTCAAACCATCACTAACAGGCTTCAGGAGGTCCTTCAAGCCTCTGCCTGCCACACAGTCCACCTTCTTAGTGGGGTGGTGTCAGGTCGGGTAGGTTGGAGGGAGTGATTTTCAGCCACCTTTAATCAACCCCAACTGGTTTGTTTCTTTGAATTGAATTTCTGGATAGCTATTTCAGTGGAAATTTCACAGCAAATATATATCCATAGCCATTATTAAGTATTTTGTTGTTGATATTTAGGCTATTAGAATACTTGAGTTATTTTCTTTACCCATTAGTTAAGAGGTGTATATGTATTATTAAATATTAATAAATGGGGCGCCTGGGTGGCTTAGTCGTTAAGTGTCTGCCTTCAGCTCAGGTCATGATCCCAGGGTCCTGGGATCGAATCCCGCATTGGGCTCCCTGCTCGGTGGGAAGCCTGCTTCTCCCACTACCCCTCCCCCTGCTTGTATTCCCTCTCCCGCTGTGTTTCTCTCTGTTAAATAAATAAATAAAATCTTCAAAAAATAAATATTAATAAATATGTCTACATTATACTAGATAGAATATATCCAAAATATGTGGTAGATACTGATTAAATGTTTGACGTGATTTTGAGATAATTTTATTAACAGTGGTAAGATTTGTGTGTGGAAATGCTTAATTTTTCTCTTACTTTTTGAAGGACCAATATTTACATTGTAGTTGGAAGGTATCTCTATATTATTTGTTCTTTTTCTAGGAGTCTGAATATGTTTCTGCTCATCTTCATGAATGGATAGATCTGATTTTTGGCTATAAACAGAGGGGGCCAGCGGCAGTGGAAGCACTCAATGTTTTCTATTACTGTAGTTATGAAGGTATAAGCCTATATACTTTTTATCTTACATTTAATTGATATTTATACATGATATTTTGGTCATGAGAAGACTACATTTAAAAATAGTTTTAATGATCTTTTCTATTTGAAATATTAAAAGACTGATGTGTGGTTTTTTTTTCAAATAGTAGTTAAGAGTATATATGCAAATCTTCACTTTTCACAGTGAAGGAAACCATCAACAAAACAAAAAGGCAACCTACTCAGTGGGAGAAGATATTTGCAAGTGATATATACAATAAGGGGTTAATATCCAAAATATATAAAGAATTTATACAACTCAACACCAAAAAAACAATCCGATTTTAAAAATGGCCAGAGGATCTGGAGAGACATTCTTCCAAAGAAGACGTACAGATGGACAACAGACACATGCAAAGATGCTCAGCATCATTCATCATCGGGGAAATGCAAATCAAAACCACAGTGAGAAATCACCTTATGCCTGTCAGAATGGCTAAAATAAAAACATAAGAAATAACAAGTGTTAGCAAGGATATGGAGAAAAAAGAACCCCTGTACACTTAGTGCAGCCACTGTGAAAAACAGTATGGAAGTTCTTCAAAAAATTAAAAACAGAAGTATGCTGTGATCCAGTAATTCCACTACTGGATATTTACCCCAAGAATATGAAAACAGTAATTTGAAAAGATCTATGTATCCCTTTGTTTATGGAGCATTATTTACAGTACTCAAGATATGGAAGCAACCAGTGTCCATTGAAAGATGAATGGATAAAGAAGATGTGAGATACACACACACACACACACACACACACACACAATGGAACATTACTCAGCCATAAAAAAGAATGTGATCCTGTCATTTGTAACAGCATGGATGGACCTAGAGGCTGTAATGCTAAGAGACATAAATCAGAGAAAGACAAATACCATATGATTTCACTCATATGTGGAATTTAAGAAACAAAACAAATGAGTAAAGGGGGGGGGGGAAGACAAACCAAGAAGTAGACTCTTAACGATAGAGAACAAACTGATGATTATGGTGGGGGTGGGGGAGGAGTTAAATAGATGATGGGGATTAAGGAGTGCACTTGTCTTGATGAGCAACAGGTGATGTATGGAATTGATGAATTACTATGTTGTATACCTGAAACTAATATTACACTGTGTTAACTGGAATTTAAGTAAAACTTAAAAAAAAATAACTGTTAGAATTTAAAAATGATGTAAATAAGTTCTAACAAAACAAACGAAGAAAGAAAAAAACAAAAAGACAGACTTTTATTTTTTTTCTTTTTAAGATTTTATTTATTTATTTGACAGAGAGAGATAGCAAGAGCAGGAACGCAAGCAGGGGGAGTGGGAGAGGGAGAAGCAGGCTTCCTGCTGAGCAGGGAGCCCAATGCCAGGCTCAATCCCAAGACCCTGGGATCATGACCTGAGCCAAAGGCAGACGCCCAATGACTGAGCCACCCAGGCGCCCCAAAAGACAGACTTTTAAATCCAGAGAACAAACTAATGGTTGCCAGAGGGGAGGTAGGTGCAGAGAAGACTGAAAGGGGATTAAAAAAAAAAAGTATATATGCAAATCTAATTATAAATGTCAGTTATTGGTGGCATAAAAGTTTTTGATTACTGGCCCTAAGTGTCCTATTCAGTCAGGTCCTACAATAAGTGCAAAGAAGACCTTTAATATTATAAATAACAAACTCTTCAAATGGTAAAATAAGGTGACATCATTTTAATATTTAGCTCGGGATCAAGAACATTTTCTGAAGGTTTTGAAAGCCTTAAGAAGTAGTTTTTTTGTAATCCTTCAGTAGTAAAGATTGTGAATAGTGTGAATTTATGTGAACTTGAGCAGAGTCCACATGCCTTTTGGTAAACAGACAAGTATGTTTTTGCGTTGCCATATTCGTTTGATAATAGTTCTATAGAGAGGTAATATGCATGGTGGTTATGAGCATAGGCTTTGAAATGCAACTTAGCTAGTTTGGCCACTTACTAACCATATCAAGTACGGTTGGGTATAATCAGTTAACCAGAATATCACCTTTCCCAGTATTTATTAGATAAGCAGTAACTTAACAGTATTTTGTGTGGTTATTACACTTGTTTCAGCTTGATTATCATGAGGACAACAATTAGGTGTACTGTGAAATAGTTTGTACGTTTTCAAGACAAACTTTTATGCACTACCAGTTAACTTTCGTTTAAAATGTTTTTGTTCTAAATAATGAATGGAATTTATTTGTAGACATATTTAATGTTTGAAGTCACTGTTTTTTTAAAAATTGCCTCTTGGGGTGCCTGGATGGCTCAATTGTTAAGCGTCCAACTCTTCATTTCAGCTCAGGTCATGATCTCAGGCTCGTGTGATTAAGCCCTGAGTTGGGTTCCACACTCAGCGTGGAGTCAGCGTGTCCCTCTACCTCTGCTCCTTTTCTGCCCCTGACTCCACTCGTGTTCTCATGTGCTCTCTTGCTCTCTTAAATAAATAAATAATAAATAAATAAATATATATATATATATATATATATATATATATATAGGGTGCCTGGGTGGCTCAGTCGTTAGGCGTCTGCCTTCTGCTCAGGTCATGATCTCAGGGTCCTGGGATCGAGACCCGCATCGGGCTCCCTGCTCCGTGGGAAGCCTGCTTCTCCCTCTCCCACTCCCCCTACTTCTGTACCCTTTCTCGCTGTGTCTCTCTCTGTCAAATAAATAAATAAAATCTTTAAAAAATAAAATAAAAATAAAATAAGTAAACAAAATTGTATACAAAATTGCCTGTCTCACAATATTCTTACAAACTGAAGAACAGAATGATATTTTGTTGAAAATACACTATTCAGTCTCCACTATATTCAGTTATGTGACTTGCTTAGTTTTCACTCCGTAGTGAGTTGACTACTTCTCCTTGTTTTAGGAGCTGTGGATCTGGATGCCTTAACAGATGAGAAGGAAAGAAAAGCCTTAGAAGGGATGATTAATAATTTTGGGCAGACACCTTGTCAACTGTTAAAGGTAAGTCATTAAAGGTACTGATTATTTTAAAAAAAGTTATTGATTACATAAGAAGTCTAGAATTTAATTGCTAAGGAGTACTACCAGCATTTTCAAGTATTTTAATTATTTAAAACTGTATCTCAGAATTATCTAGAATTTAAGAAAAATTATATTGTTACTTAAAAAGTAAATAGATTTAAATGATTGTTCCTATTTTGAAATAACAAAATATTGTGGTCAAACGTATATAGTCAAAAACTCTTGAGTCACAGAGGAGTTATATTTACTCAGAAAGCCAATCACTTTATTTTGTTTAAACAACTAAAATGTGACTGGAACAGGATTTAGATGCATGACCATCCAACTCAAAAGTCTTTCTACCATGCTGTGTCTCCTCTGAATTAATAGCTGTAAACTCTTTTATTGAATTAGATCACTTTCCATGTTCTGTGGGCTGTTATTTATATCCTAATAATGACATTTTCTGCTGTAGTTGTATATTTGTGCATTTGCCTCACTTTATTATGTTATAGGCAGCCACCTTTTCCTAATCATTTTATATCTTTCTTGAATATAGTATTTATGTAGTAAATATTTATAAATTGAGTCTCCACAACTGTTACAGCAAGAATGTATCTAAATTCTGCCTTATAAATATGTTGAACTTCTGTTAATTCAGTTATCACTAAGCTTTGTAATTACGACAGTTCCTTAGTAGAGTTTGAAGCCTCCAACGTTGGTTTTTTACAGAATGCTCATATTTAAAATCAGTGCTTTATATCCATCTGCTGATAGAATGCAAAAGTAACAGAAGAAAACAGAACACTTCATTGAGCTTCAAAATAGATTCTATAATATTTTTGCACCAGCTTTACTTTTTTTCATATGAGTAGTGCTAATTAGTTTTTATCACCATAAAAAATGATAGAAAGGTCAGCCTTTGATTATTTTAAAATTTTTTAATTTAAATTCAATTTAGTTAACGTATGGTGTATTATTAGTTTCAGGGGTAGAATTTAGTGATTCATCAGTTGCATGTAACACTCAGTGCTCGTTACATCAAGTGACCTCCTTAATGCCCATCACCCAGTTACTCCATCCCACCACCAACCTCCCCTCCAACAACCCTCAGTTTGTTCCCTGTAGTTAAGTCTATTATGGTTTGCTACCCTCTCTGTTTTTATCTTATTTTATTTTTCCTTCCCTTCCCCTGTGTTCATCTGCCTTGTTTCTTAAATTCCACATATGAGTGAAATCATATGGTATTTGTCTTTCTCTGACTGACTTATTTCGCTTAGCATAATACCCTCTAGTTCCATCCATGTCGTTGCAAATGGCAAGATTTCTTTTTTTTTCGATGGCTGAGTAGTATTCCATTCTCTATATATAACACATCTTTCTACATTCATCTGTCAGTGGACATCTGGGTTCTTTCAATAGTTTGGCTTTTGTGGACATTGCTGCAATAAACATTGGGGTGCAGGTGCCCCTTTGGATCACTACATTTCTATCTTTGGGGTAGGTACCTAGTAGTGTAATTGCTGGGTTGTAGATAGCTCCATTTTCAACTTTTTGAGGGCCCTCCATACCGTTTTCCAGAGTGGCTGCACCAGTTTGCATTCCCACCAACAGTGTAGGAGAGTTCCTCTTTCTCTACATCTTTGCCAACATCTGTCATTTCCTGACTCAGTTTTAGCCATTCTGCCCGGTGTTCGGTGGTATCTCATTGTGGTTTAGATTTGTATTTCGCTGATGCCAAGTGATGTTGAACACTTTTTCATGTGTCTGTTGGCCATTTGGATGTATTCTTTGCAGAAGATTTATACTCCCCATTTCTTGATTGGATTATTTATTCTTCGGGTGTTGAATTTGATAAGTTCTTTATAGGTTTTGGATACTGGCCCTTTATCTGATAAGAAATTTGCAAATATCTTTTCCATTCTGTCTGTTGTCTTTTGGTTTTGTTTCCTTTGCTATGCAAAAGCTTTTTATCTTGATGAAGTCCCAATTTTCATTTTTACCTTTGTTTCCCTTGCCTTTGGAGACCTGTCTAGCAAGAAGTTGCTGCGGCCAAAGTCACAGAGGTTGCTGCCTGTGTTCTCCTCTAGGATTCTGATGGATTCCTGTCTCACATTTAGGTCTTTCTTCCATTTTGAATTTATTTTTGTGTGTGGTGTAAAAAACTGGTCCAGTTTCATTCTTCTGCATGTGGCTGTCCAATTTTCCCAACACCATTTGTTGAAGAGACTGTCTTTTTTCCACTGGATATTCTTTCCTGTTTTGTCAAAGATGAGTTGACCAGAGAGTTGAGGGTCCATTTCTGGACTCTGTATTCTGTTCCATTGATCTGTGTGTCTGTTTTTGTGCCAGTACCATACTGTCTTGATGATTACAGCTTTGTAATAGAACTTGAAGTCCAGAATTGTGATGTCACCAGCTTTGGTTTTCTTTTTCAACGTTCCTTTGGCTATTTGTGGTCTTTTCTGGTTCCACACAACTTTTAGAATTGTTTGTTCCACCTCTGTGAAAAAAGTTGATGGTATTTTGGTAACAATTGCATTGCATGTATAGATTGATGTGGGTAGCATAGACATTTTAACAGTATTTGTTTTTCCAATCCATGGGCATGGGATGTTTTTCCATTTCTTTTTTTTTCTTTTTCCAATTTTTTTTATTATGTTATGTTAATCACCATACATTACATCATTAGTTTTTGATGTAGCGTTCCATGATTCATTGTTTGTGTATAACACCCAATGCTCCATGCAGAACGTGCCCTCTTTAATACCCATCACCAGGCTAACCCATCCTCCCACCCCCCTCCCATCTAGAACCCTCAGTTTGTTTTTCAGAGTCCATCGTCTCTCATGGTTCATCTCCCCCTCTGATTCCCCCCCTTCATTCTTCCCCTCCTGCTATTTTTTTTAACATAAATTGTATTATTTGTTTCACAAGTACAGATCTGTGATTCAACAGTCTTGTGTAATTCACAGCATTCACCATAGCATATAACCTCCCCAGTGTCTATCACCCAGCCACCCCGTCCCTCCCACCCCCCACCACTCTAGCAACCCTCAGTTTGTTTCCTGAGATTAAGAATTCCTTATATCAGTGAGGTCATATGATACATGTCTTTCTCTGATTGACTTACTTCGCTCAGCATAACACCCTCCAGTTCCATCCACGTCGTTGCAAACGGCAAGATTTCATTCCTTTTGATGGTTGCATAGTATCACATTGTATATATATATACCACGTCTTCTTTATCCATTCATCTGTCGATGGACATCTTGGCTCTTTCCACAGTTTGCCTATTGTGGACATTGCTGCTATAAACATCAGAGTGCATGTACCCCTTCGGATCCCTACATTTGTATCTTTGGGGTAAATACCCAGTAGTGCAGTTGCTGGGTCGTACGGTAGCTCTATTTTCAACTGTTTGAGGAACCTCCATACTGTTTTCCAGAGTGGCTGCACCAGCTTGCATTCCCACCAACAG